TCCATATTTGTAAGATATATTCATTTAGTAAATAATATGTCGATTATAAATGCAAAAAAAATTATGAACAATTAATAACGGTTTATTAAAAGTTTTGCATACATTTATAGAAATGTAATGGAAATTTTGATAAATATTGTAATTTCAGTTGAATTTTTCAGACATCCCATAATAGCTATAAACTTTTCTTGCATTGTTATTTGGAATAATTGTTAATTAATTTCTCTAAACAGGGAATATGAAGTATGTTTTATTTTATTATTAGACTTCAACTAACGATCTGTAGGCGTTCGATAATATGCAATTCTGAGATGCTAAAAAATACACTGACATCGGAATATTATAAGAAAAACTGTCAGATCCGTATTGTGTCGGTCAAAGGTTCGAATGATTAATGAGCAGTTAATTACCGTACTGAAATATGTATGACAAACGCTAAACTTTCGCGAGATTCGACAGTTTTGAGAATCGTGAAGCTAACCGAGAGGCATTAATTATATGACTCGTAAAACTTTCTCGATTTTTCATTCGCGACAAGCTTGAAGTTAATTCGAGGTAAATTCGATTCTCATTCGTTGACAAGTTTAGTGCGAACAAGAAAACACTGATTATGAAATGCGTCTGCGAAGTTTGTCATTTTATGTTCACAGAGTCTCTTCACGACTGAAGTAATTACCGTATGCATTATTGGGAACATATTCGCGTTGGTGTATTCATTTATGAATGCGAATGTCACAAATATATACAATTCAATTTTTGGTTGAAGCAATAATAAATGAATAATTAAACCGATAAGTGAATATCAAAAATAAAAGAAAGAATTTTATGTTCGATTGAAGCGGAGCTTGATGCTTAATAATATTTATAAATTTTCAAATACATTTTTCAGTTCTATAATCTGTATGCCGATTCGGTTTATTCAACTTAAAACTCAATCATAAACTGAAGTTATCTTAAATAGTACCATAAGTTACATTGATTGTCAATTTAACTTTAATTGATGTTAGCTCCGAAATTTCCTTAACTGGTATTCGTGGGTCCACTGGAAATTAATGTATCTTTACTTAAAGTTAATGTAATTGAACAACTTTTTTTTAATTTTGAAGGTCAAAATTCGAGGAATATAATTATATAAACTAATGATTACGATATAAAATTATGTAAGGTTGTGAAAAACGTTATAAACAATTTTTTACATAGCCGAAGAAAATTCACAAGAATATACTGATTAGAGCTTCACTGTTAAATCTATACTGTCAAATTTAACTCAATCATATCGTTATTTTATACTAAAACAATGGTTATATTTGACACTATACAGTGTCAATTTGATACTATATAGTGTCAAATTGACACGATATAGAGTCAAATTTAAATGTCATTTTGGTAAAAAATAATGATATATTTAGTAGAAGCAGTGGCGACTCACGTTAGATTAAATTTGACACTATAGATTTAAGTGTTGGATTAGAGTTAATAATAGTACTAATAAACATCTTAAAACATAGAATTTTGACAAAAAAAATGTATCCAAATATAAATTTATCCAAAATTATCCACACAGTAAAAAACATTTTGTATTTGTATGAGGAACGGTTCACTCAAGTCCTTATTAAAATTCTGTATTGAATTTTTAATATATCTGTGTGTTAATTTAACATAATTGTTATTTGAATATTTTGTATTAAATTGATATTCATTATTTCTTAGTATTAGAATAAAACAATTCATATATAAATGAACAAATTACATAAAAATAATATTTTTTAAGACATAAATTCTAAAATAAATAAATATAAAATGTGTTAATTTAACATATTATAAATGTTAATTCTTTACATAATATAATATTTTTTTTTACTTTCTAACTTATTCATCTTGTGTTAAATTAACACAAAAATTTGAATGGACCGTTTGGGAAACGTGTTAAATTTAACACAAATTTTCTAAGCTCTTTGCAAGGTTTATGCGACGTAATATGAAAATTGCACTTATGCCACCTTGTGTAAACGCATATTGCATATATTGCACGTGCACGCCGGAACAGATTACACATATTACACGTGTATCGAAGCGCATGTCATTCACATTAGACCTATGACAGAATTCATATCGCGTGTGCAAATGCTGATCTCATCACGTCGCTAGGATGATTTCGTGAAACATATAGACCCGTGGCGATCGAGCTGCGGCTCGTAACCCCAGATGGCATTTTTCTTTCCTGGCTGCTTCCGCACATTATTGAATATCGTCTATTTGTCGAGCAACGTCTTCTTGCTCGTTCCGCCACGCTTATCACGTCACTGTTTCGCCGACTTTTCCGTTCTATTCTATCTCGGCCTCCCTCCGTCCGGGCCGAAGCGCGCTTGCCAGAAATATCAATTTGCGCGGGAGTGGTAACAGTTTGCTTGATTTGGCACGGCGTAGCTTACGTCCGAAATAAATCTTTGCGAGTGCAGTGTCGACGATGCCCGCCCCGGAAACCGATTGTCTATGCGGATTTGACGTGAGTGGCGCACTCGTCCCAGCTTTGCGGGCGATATCTCATTTTCGATTTGCATCTTGTTTATCTTCAACTGATCGATATTTCGATCAGTTGATTAAAAAAAAACAGACTTAAAACTACTTAGTCCTATTTGATCGTTCTCCTTAAACTTGTTGAGACCATAAGACGGGATTCTGTCGTTATGCTAAGGCCGTGTTTATGTAAAATTAAAAACTGCTCATTGACAAGCGTGACAGTAGAAGTGCATAATAAATTAAAACGGCAAATACAGTAATTGTTGTTGCGACAATGAGCGTTTTGTCGCGTGAAAGTAAACGTGCTTAGAAAACAATTCACGTCTTAGCGTGTATTGATATTTTGGAATGTATAGCAATGTCATTAGATATTTTATTTCAGAAGAACTTTCTTATACTGCTTTTCCAATACTTTTTAGATTTTTTTTTACGTGTACTATTTAATTTAATTATCAATTCTTCTTTTAGAATTATTAAAGTAAATAATAAATAAGTTTAGGCACTGATGAATAATATGATATCAGTAAAAGTTGGTAAAAACCTTTAAGAGCCAACACAGGTTATATGCATGTATATGCGAATATGCTTTATTAAATTAACACGCAATACGCAAACATACAAACGGTCCTATTTTTGGATCCTCTTCAGTATAATGAATTCTTAAACTACAGTATAAGTTCGCTAAAAATCATCTGATGTAAATTACATCGAGATTATTAAGTAAATAAAAGATTTTTCTAAAAGATTTGCTTATATGGAGGAATACCATTTTATTAACATAAGAGTTTTACTTAACTATAATTGTGAATTATATTTTATGACAAATACAAGAAAGAACACCAAATAAGTGAAGAAAGCCTTATTTGGTCAAAGCGGATCTTGAAATTTAATATTTTTTTGAATTTTATAATTCCCAATTTATGCAAACTGCGTGCCTATTATTTGTTGGTCTTGAAACGCAGTTCTACACTAAAACTCGAGTACGCAATATCACAAATTAAATTGACAAACAACTTAATAATATTGATGTTAATGAGCATCTTAAAACACTGTAAAAAATTTATTTAAATATGAGAATGTTATTCTATACAAACAATATTAAGTGAAATAAACCAGAGAAGTGTTTAAACACAAATATGGAGAAGAATGTTACATTCGGCCAAAGCGGATCTTGGTGCTTAAAAATATTCATATATATGTGAATATACAAATAGCAGTGAATATACAAATTAGCAGTTCTATAGATTGTGCGACAATTCAGTTTGTCGAACTTGGAATACAATTATGAACTGAAATAATAATCTCATAAATAAATTATTTGATCGTCGATTTAATAATAATACAACTATCATCTATAAAAACCTGTAAATATAACTTATTATGAGAAATATCACCTTAGCCGGGATTCGAATTTGAATTACTGGATTTCGTCTTCCCAATTCGACCACCGAGACATGTTATGATATGTATTAACTAGCAAAGCCAATATATGTGAAAGAATCTTTTTCAGGCGACGTGAGATAATAACAATATTATTTTGTTATACAAATCCTATTTATACGCATAATGCACATCTGGATTAGATTGAGTCGCTCCGTTTTTTTAAAGTTCGTCAGACTGTGTATCGGAAATTCAGGATTGTGAATTTAAGATTAAAATTTAACCAATCAGATAATTTTATTTTTAATCCGTTTCATTTTAATTGGTTGAATTCTGATCTCCAATTCGTAATTCTCAATCTCCAATGCGTAGTCTGATACGGGCTCAAGATTTATCAAACGAACAATCTCGATCACGAAGCAATTCATGATGCCCGCAGCCTTTCCCGAAATCGCGGTCGTTACAAAAGCGACTGATGACGGCGGTTTTTCGCGTATAAGAAAAGCCGACGAGAGACCACACGCGGGAAAATAATAACAAGAGAAGTGCCTGCGGGGTTTAGGTGTAGGTGGACCAGGCAGGGAGACGAAGGGAGATAGTGGTGGATGCATAATTGAATGAAAGCGTGGCGAACAGAGCCAAGGGGTAGTTCCTACGACTGGGAGGGGGTGGAATGCTATAATTTCAAGCCAGACAGTCATGCGTTATTCAGCGTTGAGGTACAAGCTCTCTCTCTCTCTCTCTCTCCCCCCCCCCCCCTCCCCCCCCCCCCCCCTCTCGCTCTCTTCTGCTCTCTCTCCCCCTCCCCCTCCTTCCCCTTTTCCCCCCTCTCATCTTTGCATTTTCTATACGATTCTCTGAAGAGGAGAAAGTGCCTCCTCTTTTCTCCTTTTCATTTTGTCGTACTTCTAGATCTCCATTCTCTGCCTAATTCTTAATCGTTTGTATGTTATCCATCCATTAGTGTTTCCAATTCATAATTTCTGAAATAAATTGATGCGATAATAATCAATACAATGATGTCAAAATATGCACGCCGAAGACAAAATTCGCAAAATCCTTACATCACTCAAACTATTCCTTTCTCTGTTTATATTCAGGATAGTGACAACATCTGGTGGGAATCCTTTGCGAACGAGTTCTTCGAAGAAGACGCCACCCTCACCCTCCATGTCTGCTTAGAAGATGGACCGAAGAGATATTGTGAGTATCACCTATTATTTGATCCCATTTACCTTTCGTGCAATCGACGGCAATGCAAATTTGGAAAGAAACGTTTAAAAATGTATTATACGTAATAAAATTAGGCAGAACCTGACTATTACATTTTACTTCTTACCAATATCAACGAAATTTTATTTTTAATTAATAAGGAAGAAGTTGATTTCTTTCGGCTCATAGTCATATCTAACCCAAGAATCTATCACTACGATTAATGCACGGAAAGAACGTGACGTTTTTTTTTTGTTCAAATATTGAAAAATTTAGCTATTATTGATCTGAAAACAATTTTGACAGAATCAAAATTGTTTTCATCAGATCAGTACCTGGCTAAATTTTTAGATATAGAGGTATTCAGAACGTGCTTTTATCTTTGAAATTCTATAATATGCGTGACGTAAACTGTAGTATGTTAGCGCGCTAACATCGTTGTAAGCGCGTTCTGAATACAGGCCAGAACGTTGAACTATCAAAATAATTATATGGAACGCTCAAACTTGCTAGAATATCAAAATTTTTTTCAGCATTGCTCATTACGTTCAAGTTTTTTACGTGATTATTTTGATAATCCAACAAAATTACTTCCAGGTCTGTAACTAGAGTTAAATTTTTAGATATTTCAGCAAAATCGTTCTCTTTGTGTTTGTGTGTGTGTGTGTGTGTGTGTGTGTGTGTGTGTGTGTGTGTGTGTGTGTGTGTGCGCGTGCGCGTGCGTGTGCGTGTGCGTGTGTGTGTGTGTGTGGAATACAGTACACGAGTTAAGTATCTTTATTTTCATGAAAGGAAAGGAAATTGCAAAACATACACACGAAAAGATTGAATTGCAAGCGAAATATGTTTTTTTTAGAAGCAAAATGATAAACTATGGAGTGGAATTTTTATGATATCTATATGCTTTTGCGTTTGATGCGATCGATTTTCTCCAGATAATTCCCGCGAGATAATTCCTTACATCTTTGCGATATCACGGTTCACACATTGTCACCGATACTTAATCGCTGCCAAGCTCGTGCGGTGCCACCTCTGTTTTAAATAATGACGTGCCACCGCGCGGCAATCTTGCAGTCGGTGGATTTTAATGTCTGTTCCGCACCACCGTCTCGAAAATATACGACGACAATGTGATTACATGTCGTGTGGATACATGTCGTCGTCATCCGGGTATAAATGACAGGGCATCTGCGCAGTAAGATGCGCTGGAACAACCGAACGAGTCCGGGTTATGCAAAATGCGTTTTGCAATTATAAAGAGAAAAAAAGATATTTTTCATTTGTGCGTTTGTCCGCCAATGTTTATTCAGTTTATATTTACATCGCTTCTTAAAATTTTATTCGTTCTTTATGACAGTTTGTTATAAAATTAAACATTTTTGAAAATTAGACGCGAGTTTGTTGTAGAATTAAACATTGGAATTTAAATGTGACGGTTTGCTTTATTTAGCTATTCGCGAAAATATCAATTTTGCAAAAGTGCATGTTATCGCGGAAAATATTGTGCCTAACATAGAGCAACATCGACCGATTTAAGACAGCTGTCGATCTTAACTGTCCTGCTTTCCTCGTCACGTGTTCGTTGTATTTGTTTCTAATCGTTTCCATCTTATCCTTTCAGCGATAGGAAGGACGTTAATACCCAGGTACTTCCGTTCGATATTCGACGGTGGAGTGACGGAACTTTACTATACTTTGAGGAATCAGAAGGAATCGTTTCACAACACCAGCATAACGTTGGACTGTGATCAGTGCACAATGGTCACGCAGTATGGAAAGCCGATGTACACTAAGGTATGAACATTCTGCAGAGTTTATTGCACTTGCAATAGAAAACTGTACGTTTCAGATTATCAATATTTAGGTACTTAATTGTTGAGTTAAACAAAAATAACTAGAATGATTGAAATAGATAAAAAAAAACAGTCGTGATACAATATACAAATTCTAGAAAAATTCATATAATATATACTTTTAATATATAGATTATGTCATTATAAAAACTGCTGATGATATTCTGAGTTGACACAATTAGAAAAATCAATTATCCTTTTCTTGGAAAAAAAAAATAAAAAAAAGGAGATATCATAAAGATAGGAAGGATTAAAGTTTAATTGGATCTCCATAATTTCTGTAAAACTGTTTCCTAGCAGGAAGCTTAAGTCCTGCGAACTCTCTTCAAGGCGACGGGCGAAATCAAGCGCTCTCGAAATAGCCGAAGCGAATATTGTCATTCGAAAACTTATTTTAGGTGTTAACGGAGGGTAGGTTAATATTGGAGTTCACCTTCGACGATCTCATGAGGATAAAGTCGTGGCATATGTCGGTGAGGACGCATCGGGAACTGGTACCGAGGAGCGTTGTCAGTATGCAGCAGGACCCGACGATGCTTGAGCAGATTAGCAAAAACATCACTAGGCAGGGCATGTCCAACTTCACTCTCAACTACCTTAGAGTACGTATCTTCCATACTGCATGTCTTAATTTTACGTTGATGCATCAGTGCCAGATTGACCGCATTTTAATTGAATTGAAATTTTCTCGTTTCATTAACTCGGGAATAATTACCTAATTTTTTTCACGATCACCTATGGTTTTTACGTTCCAATTAAGTCACTATTATTAATTACATATTGTATATTTCGATTATTTTACAATTTATTAGTATTTGAGTTCATTATATATCATAGATTTACTTGATGATTTCTGAAAAAAGTAAGAAGAAACAAAAAAATGAATATAAATTCCTAATCAGTACAGAAAACTGAATTACTAAGCTACATTTTCTTGCTGCTGGACATCAAAATCACCCCAATGCCTGTATTCTAATTTTTAATCTACTACAATTAGTTATACTGCCGTTGCGCAGTTTTTTTTACCACATATAATACATGGCAATGACAATATGATATCGACACTGTCGTTAAGAGTTACAAAATACAGACACAGCTGAGTATTCCAGGTTAAACTTTTTTGATGATAAAAAACGATTAGCAAAGCGATTGAGTTTAAGAGACAAAAATAGATAAAAAGTATAAATTGTTTTTTTTTATTAGTGTGATATTTATAAATGATGAACGCGAAGACTTCTGGAACAGACATTTAGACTACAAATTTGAAGTAAAAAAAAAAAAAAAGAAATATGGCATAATTATACGCTCATTTAGTGATAAATGTGTGCGAAACATTGTACGTGCCAAAACAAGAGGAAGGAATATTTTGTTGTATATTGCTTTATAACAGAAAAAAGTATCGATCGCGGACATAGTAGTTAGAAAATTATTGCAGCAAGGTGTGTCGGGACTAGATCGGAACACGGCGTATTCCTGCCTTCTCGAAAGTATCTCCGGCTATCCGGGTTACGAACCACCTTCTTTCCGCGCTCGGAAGCGCTTTCACCGGGGAAGGGGGACGACCGTGCATTCCGCGTGTATCGTCTCGAGTCAGTTGAAAAGCCCGTCGATTGTTACGTCGGGAAAGTCCTCGCCTATTGTTGAACTAGTATACGATGTTCGGAAACGCGTAGGAACCGTCTCAAATAATTTCTCCACACGGGTGAAGACTCGCTGACGATGAAAATGGGCTTCAGTTGATTTATAGATAGATGAATATATCGTCGTCGCGCAGAACTCCAGTCGTTCCTTAAAGTGATAGTTATGTTATTCACCTTTTACACTTGCTGCGTAACGTGATATAACGATATTATTCACATGAAAATGCATAGAACGCAAATATAGTTCCCGAATTAAAAATGTATACAAAACGAATCGGCAGAAATAAAAAAAATGTATATATTTTCTATGAGCTTTCAAAGAAGTTGTTTTGTTTAATTTGCATTAAATATTTATTAGAATGTTATAGAAACTTTTAGGAACCATCTAAATTTTTTGTTATATATTTGTTTGTTCAAGTTTAATCCTCCGGAGTTGACGGTCGGTCTGTTAGGGGAAAGAGGACCCACCCAATTATAAATCTTTGTCAAAAATGTCAAACAATTCAAGTTTGCATTATTTTATTGAAATAAACTTAGAAATTCATTCTTTTTTATACTAGTTATATCATTTTTTTGGTTCGAAATTAATTAGTTCCTTTTAATTAATATAAATTGAATAAAATATCTATTATTAGCACTAAGATTCGCCTTGACTGAATATGGCTCTCTTCACTAATTTGCATTGAACATTTCTCGTTCATTTTTACTTATATTGTTCAAATTAAATGGATTTTACAGACACAGTGTCGAATCAGTAACTGTGTTGGCGTCAGCTCTGGAGGGTTAAAAGATATTTTGAAGAGATTTTCAAAACTGAACTTGTAACTTGGCTTAATAACTTTTCATTAAGAACTGTACGACGATTCTTTTACAGTTATGCGTGATTCTGGAGCCGATGCAAGAACTGATGTCGAGGCACAAGGCGTATGCGTTGTCACCTCGTGATTGTCTGAAGACGACCTTGTTCCAGAAATGGCAGAGGATAGTTGCCCCGCCGGGTAAGAGAGGTAGACGAACAGTTGCTTTACATGAGAAGCACCAGCCAGTGAAGCCGAACGGCCATTCGATCCTAATAAACAATGTGAAATCGGTTTTTGCTATCCGCGAAACGACACACTTCGTTGTTGATTTTCTTTACCGCTTTGTCGCGATTCTTGGTTCCACCGGTTTTTTCTTATCGAGCGTGAGACTTGATGATTTTATTCGAAATCTAGCAATTAGATGCACTTTTCTATTAACAGTCTTGTGTCGCTTGCTTCATTGATCGAATTTAATTCAAACATTTGAGTCATTTTATGAAGTTATATTTAAGAATTACTATTTAAGAACATTACTATAACTGAAATTTCGATTTCCTTTTAATTGTGTAGATTACATTAATTGATAGCATTGATTCGCTTATATTATTTGCGAGACATGGCTTTTAGTATCAGCTTATCGCCCGTCTTTCTCATGCTTGTGCGTGCACCGCGTTTCCCATTTCACTTGCGATTATGTATAGCTCATATATATATATATATATATCTATCCGATGCTCATTTAAATTTTATAAAACCGTGGAACCAAGCGCATATAACACCAAATAATATGTTGCCAAACGTGTTTCTCTGTAAACATCGCTTGAGAGTGCAAAGTAGCTCGTGGGAGAAAGATAGAAATAAACCTGACACATATCTATGTGTTTGTCTATCAATGCATGCTTGTGCTTGTGCGTGTCAGAGACCTTTGATAATGAGAAAGGTCCACAGCTGGGTAGTGCTCTTTAAGTTTATCAGTGTGTAGCTACACACGTGGCCGAACGTGGCCAACGAATGCGCGCAGCGTCGTGCTCACGACGATTTCCTTCTTTTCCAGAGTCTCAGCGGCCGGCCAGTAAAAGAAGAAAGCGGAAGGGCAGTACATCCGGACCAGGCAACAATGCACCTCCTGCGCCCAGTAAGAAGCGTTCACCAGGGCCAAATTTTTCTCTAGCATCGCAGGTAAATTTTTCAATTTGTTTTTTCAATGAAGCAGCACATCATCGATCGTGCAACGTCAAGAAGCAGGCGCTGACTAAATGTTTTTTTACTTTCATGTAGGATGTGATGGTCGTGGGTGAGCCTTCTTTGATGGGCGGTGAATTCGGAGATGAGGACGAGCGGTTAATTACAAGGTTGGAAAATACGCAGTACGATGCCGCAAATAATCTGGATCCTCATAGTCATGATGCATCCGGTGGACCACCGCCACATCCTCATCAGTTCCACTCGGAACCAACACCGGGTAATTCTTGGCCGCCAGATCGTGGTCCTGGTCCACCACAGGGAGGTCCTGGCAGTCAGGTAATTTCCATTTTTCTACAACAAAACAAAAATTTCAGATTAAAGAATGTGCCTACACGCGCATAATTTATTTGAAGAGCTCTAGATATGCAACAAGTCTAAAATTTTGCTGAATTAGTTGAACTAATTTATGAAACTAACTGATATCAGATATTGAAACAATTACTTGAGTTCTGAATTTGGAGATTGATGTCATTATTCGGTTGATATCTCGGAAATACCAATACTAAAGATGCTCGACTCAACAGAAGATTAAAGAAAAGAAAAATAAAATTTAAGGAAAAGGTATTAATTTTAGAATACTATTCAGAGCGCGTCATATATAAATGATGTGATTCTAATGTTATGTCTCGCATGTGTGTGTGTGTGTGTATGTACTACTTCAGGGAGTCCAGGGTGGTCAAGCGGGTGCGGCTGCAGGTGTACAGGGAACGCAGGACGCCAGTCAACAGCAGCAAGACAAGAAGAGCCCCGCGGTGAGCCAGTGAGGCCAGGAGTCCCCGCGCCCCCCCACCAGGGGGCGACGGGGGCGCAGGCCCAAGAACGTGGCTCCCTAGCGGGGCGAGAATCCTAGCCTCCCCACTGCCGCCGCCTATTTGGCCTCCGCGG